ATGACATCGACCTCATGGCCCCAGCTTCTGGCCTTCAAGCTGGCCCCTCCGCCCCGTGACCCTGGGAGTCCAGAGAGGATCTTCAGCTGTGTCGGGGAGATGGAGCGCCGCTACGAGATCGTTCCCTCTGTGGTCTCCTCCATGTGCTGCCTCTTCGGCATCATATACTGCTTCTTTGGTAAGACAACCACACTGCTACTACTGGTACCATTGTTACTAATGAAAAAGGAAAACCCGCGCTCTCACTGGAATACTTTTGCAGTTTTAACGTATTTTAGAAGCAGCAGAGGTCAACAAAGGGATGCGTTAAACGCTGACGAAGGCTGTGGCCGAAACGCGTCCATATGCTGACCTCTGCTGCTGCTTACATCCATTAAAACTGCAAAAGTGATTCCAGTGAGTGCGAGTTTTCCTTATTTTCATTATGCATGTGTGAACCCGGCACCCAAAGCCTTTCTGATAGTCCAGTATATACACTACTTGAGTTGAGAGCGCCGATTACTTTTGCTACTATTGTTACTAAGAGTCAGACTGTATACTGCTTCTCTGGTAAGACCATAGAGATATCATATACTGCTTCTCTGGAAAAGACCATAGAGATATCATATACTGCTTCTCTGGTAAGACCATAGAGATATCATATACTGCTTCTCTGGTAAGACCATAGAGATATCATATACTGCTTCTCTGGTAAGACCATAGAGATATCATATACTGCTTCTCTGGTAAGACCATAGAGATATCATATACTGCTTCTCTGGAAAAGACCATAGAGATATCATATACTGCTTCTCTGGAAAAGACCATAGAGATATCATATACTGCTTCTCTGGAAAAGACCATAGAGATATCATATACTGCTTCTCTGGTAAGACCATAGAGATATCATATACTGCTTCTCTGGTAAGACCATAGAGATATCATATACTGCTTCTCTGGTAAGACCATAGAGATATCATATACTGCTTCTCTGGAAAAGACCATAGAGATATCATATACTGCTTCTCTGGTAAGACCATAGAGATATCATATACTGCTTCTCTGGTAAGACCATAGAGATATCATATACTGCTTCTCTGGTAAGACCATAGAGATATCATATACTGCTTCTCTGGTAAGATGATAACCCTGTTACAGATTTACAACAGAGCTAAGCTAACACAACCTGCTTCTCTGGCAAGACCATAGAGATCTGTAATGTAGAATGTCATGTGTGTTGTCCATTTTCCATCAGAGTAATCTTTTAGTTCATCTTAACTCCTCAGCAGCAACCTGCAAATCCACAACAAACAAAACATGTTGAGATTGTCAATTCTTATCTACGTTAATCACCAAAACAGCATGTTTTTAATGTGGATAAAACACTGTCACAGTCTCAAAGCAGAGTGCACAATCTCAGCTAATTGCTGTTGTTTTATAACTAATGACATAACAGCTGTCATCTCTCCAGGGTTGTGGTTCTCCGTCTGTGATAGAGACAGAGAGGAAGTACTGTATCGTTACGCCTCTGTTAGTTTATTTCACCTAGTGTTGTACTGTATCAAGAGAAGACTGTAACCTGGTTCACAATGGAGAGGAGAGGAGAGGAGAGGAGAGGAGAGGAGAGGAGAGGAGAGGAGAGGAGAGGAGAGGAGAGGAGAGGAGAGGAGGGGAGGGAGGGGAGGGGAGGGGAGGGGGAGGGGAGGGAGAGGGAGAGGAGAGGAGAGGAGAGGGAGGGAGGAGAGGAGAGGAGAGGAGAGGAGAGGAGAGGAGAGGACGAGAGAGGAGAGGAGAGGAGAGGAGAGGAGAGGGAGGAGAGGAGAGGAGAGGAGGGACGAGAGGAGAGAGGAGGGGGAGAGGAGGAGGAGGAAGAGAGGAGGGAAGAGGAGGAGGAGGAGGTAGAGATGAGGGAAGAGGAGCGGGAGAGGAGGAGGAGGAAGAGAGGAGAGCAGATTAGAGAAAGACAGGAAGAGAGGAGGAGGAGTTCAGTTCTTTGAGCCTCAGCTGTATTCATGCTTGATTACACCCAGATAATAATGTTATGGTGAAGCCCTGCGGTGGAGGAAGACAGAACACATTCACTAACGAACATAGAAGACTTGGGATGTGTCCCAAATGGAATCGTATTACCCATAAGGCCCTGGGCAAAGGTAGTGCGCTATGTAGGAAATAGGGAACCATTTGTTACGGCGTTATTGTGAGAAGTGCCCAGCGGTAGGATTTTAACAGTGAGGAGGCTGATGAAGTAGATGGACTTTCCTTGCCCAGAGCGGGGGGGGGGCTTTTTATATAGCAACTGTGAAGATAATACCAGGCGCCAAAAATACAATCATTACAAAATAAAAAAAATAAAAAAACATGGCGTTTACAGCGGGGTTGATGGATGGTGGTGGGGTGGAGTCTCTATATGCTGTCTCTAATATGCCTCTCCCGTTATCTCTTACTGGTCCTGACAATACTGAGCTGTGCCCTAGACCTGAAGCTGTCCATGGTTCTGCTGGGGGTACTGGCAGTCCAAAAC